CTTTTTACAGTACTGGTGAGTATACACCACCTCCCAGGACCTCCTTACAGAATTGGTGAGTATACACCACCTCCCAGGACCTCCTTGCAGTACAGGTGAGTACAGACCACCTCCCAGGACCTTTACAGTACTGGTGAGTATACACCATCTCCCAAGACCTCCCTCCTTACAGTACTGGTGAGTATACACTACCTCCCAGGACCTTGTTACAGTACTGGTGAGTATACACCACCTCCCAGGACCTCCTTACAATACTGGTGAGTATACACATCTCCTTCCTAAAGGCTTTATCATCAGCGCTGACACCCTCAGAGTTGGTACTTTTCAGGGCTGCCTCTTTCAGGGATAATACCTTCCTCAGGGATAATACCTTTTTCGGGGGTTGCCTCTCTCAGGGATATCTTCCTCAGGGCTGCCTCCCTAAGAGATAATACCTTCATCAGGGCTACCTTCCTCAGGGCTGCCTCCCTCAGGGATAATACCTTTTTCGGGGGTTGCCTCTTTCAGGGATAATACCTTCCTCAGGGATTATACCTTCCTCAGGGCTGCCTCCCTCATGGATAATACCTTCCTCAGGGCTGCCTCCCTCAGGGATACCTTTCTCGGGGTTCCCTCCCTCAGGGTTGCTACTCTCAGGGCTGCTTCCCTCAGGGCTGCACTGCGGCAGTGTGTCCAGCGTGTCCTCATAACCAGTGTTTGCTTATCGACAAATTTGTTTACGAGAGACTGTTGTAAATATTAACCTGCGGCCGTTACCCTAAGATAACAACCTCCCCTGTTGTGTTTTTTGTAACGTTTATTTAGTTAGCACGATAATTTGAGTTAGCTTAGTCTAAAGTAATGTAACGTAACGCATATTAACGTATGTTGACGTGAAGAGTTTAAATGAACAATGGCCAGGTTAACAGATTCCATATATAAGTGTGATCGTGGTGTAATAACACGCAAAATGCCTGCAAATGGCATAACAGGGAAAAAGTAGGCAGATAGGATTAGCTTTCAAACAGATGGGACCCAAAGAGTAAAATGTCAAGAAATAAAATAAAAAGGCTTTGCAAACAAAAGTTGTGTTCGTCAAAGCGCAAGGTCACCAGCTGGACAAGACCTGGACCGAGACAGTACCGGCGAACCCCATCCAGTCCAATCCCAGGAACAACACTCTCCCCAGTTCTCTCTTTCATTCTCCTTCCAGACGACTCTGAACACTGTGTTATCATGTGCAGTTATACTAGGATTTGTGAGTGGCGCTCTTCGAGGACTGCAGATCTCCAAGTAGACGTAAACTGAGTCTACCAGTGGGCCACAAAGAAGGAATATGATGTTCAGCGAGAACGAATTCCTTTACTCCTCTGTAGAAAAAAAATAAAACCATAAACTATATAGGAATGTAAAGCGTAATCAAACCCCACTTTAGAACAGAAAAGAAATGTAAGCGACCTTGGTGTAACCATGTCGGAAGATTTTTACTTTTCAGAAACACTGTGAAATTGCTAAAATTATTGTAAGAGTGATAAGGTTGAATAACAAAAACTTTACAAACAGATGATATATTTGAAGGTACTTGTACACTTTATACTGTAAAACTGCTGCATAGTAACGGTCTCATTTATATTATGCAGTGAAACATATAGATTATTGGGTAGCCCTTAAGTCTTTCAGAGTTTACTCCTGGGATGCAGGCGAGAATAATGTATCATAATTTTCACATGGCTGGTACTGTTAATTTATAATTGTATGTGACTCGTTAAACCCATTTGCGATATTAAGTGTCAGGAATGAGAGACAGGCATGCCATGACTTAAATTAACGGTATTTGCCATGTCTTTTAGACAAATGATTATTTTAGGAAAAATCTGTGTACACGAGATGGTATTCTTGAAAGTAGTGGCGCACTCTGGTTTAAACTAGTGTTCTGTGCTCCCTTGTCCTCTCAAGGCAAGTGAGATACCCAAGCTTTAAAACATACAAATGTTTTACTAGTGACAGAATCATGAAACTGAACCATCGTGACCGACTCAGCGCTCGCAGTGCACTCTTGCAACGGAGACAAGACAGACATGTCATAATCTTTACATGGGAAATACTGGTCAGTTAGGTTCTTAATTTGTACGAACATAAGTTACTGAAGTGAGAAATATGTGAACAAATATAGAGTAAGCACAAGATGAAGTGAGGATAAACATAATGGTAGAATACTAAGTCGACATCGTTGGGGAAGAGGTGTCATCATCTCAGGTTCAACTTTCTTCAACTATCGAACAACAAGTGGAAAAATTACCGGTGTAAGTGAAGAAATCCTCAAGAGGAAACTAAATAGTTTCGTGCAGTTGATAAAGACACAAGCAACAATGGACAACTTCATTTAGACGACGTTTCGCTTGCTCAACAAACTAAAAACATGCTGCGCAGGTGAAACGTCGTCTAAATAAAGTTTCCAGTTGCTTCTTGAGTGTCTTTATCAACTATAGTTTGCCGGTATTACCATACCATGTAACGTAATTTTGATTAAGTAGATTATAATAGTTATATAGATGTTGTGGCCGCTGGTAGCAACAGATTGGCTAAGTATTGTCTCACAGAGAAGCTGGACACAGGCTGGTTTGAACTCAGGCATATGAAAAAAACATGACATTGACTACCTGTATGTGGAAGACATGGTGATATAAGACAAATTCTGGCAGACAGTAATTTGGAGAGTGAACTTAGTAGGAAATCCCCAGAAGTTGTGATGAAAGCAAAGGACTCGGCAGGCGATGCAACATTTCCCCAATGAAAAGCAGGGGCCCCACGAGTTTCTCTTCAGGGGCCCCAAGACTGTTCAGCAGCCTCCCAGCATATATAAGGGGGATTACTAATTGATCCCTGGCTGTCTTCAAGGAGCTCCACAGGCACCTAAAGTCAGTACCTGACCAACCGGGCTGTGGTTCGTACGTCGGTTTACGTGCGGTCAGCAGTAACAGCCTGGTTGATTAGGCCCAGATCCACCGCGAGGCCTGGTCAGGGACCGGGCCGCCGGGGCGTTGACCCCCCGAACCCCCCTCCAGGTATAATCCAGGTAACCATCTTGCCCAAATGTGCTGAGAGCCAAAATATATTTAAAAAAAAAAAGATATGTCCTTCCAAGATCGCTTTCGGTCCCTCCTGCAACTGTCGTCATCCCTGCCTGTGTAACTGAAACTAAAATACGAAGAGAATTTATGGCTTAATTAACGGAGCAGCGAAGGAAAATTCTATAATAAATTAAAGTAAAAATATCGAGCCCTAAGAACGCCGGAAAAAGGAAATAAGAGAGACGCAGAAGATTCCAAGAGGATGCGGTAAGGCATCAGTTATAGAAAATTACAGTGAAATACATGAAGAACTCAACCGCAGATTACAGTAGGTATTCATGGAGCAGAGACCTATGTTTTTGTTGTTTATTGAACAAAATTAGATACATTAACAGTGTGCTGCTGTCCTACATTCTTGTAGTTACACAGTGAGAAGTATAGCTGGCTATGTTTCCCTGTTATTTTTATCACACCAAGTAATGAATATCTGGTACCCTGAGGCCTGAGCAGCGAGACTTCAGCTGGGCGATTTTCATCGCCCAGCTGAAGTCTCAGCGACTCAGGCCTAAAATAAATAACAAAAAGGCACAATACCGTGACTGGAACAATACACAAATAACCCGCACATAAAAGAGAGAAGCTTACGACGACTCAGGCCTAGCGACTCAGCGACTCGGTAGCTACGGCAGCTTGGGAAGTTTCGTTGCAACAGAACCAGAATAAATACTGTTTGGTAATTACTATCTGTTATGATGGCCTATCTCACACACAGTCAGGAAATGTTGGGAAGACATGTAGATCCTACTTAAACTAACAAGTATTGAAGTAACGAGGGTTGAATCGTGAAGTGTATTAAGAGAGTTGAACATTACACTTCACTTACAATGTATTTTTTCTAGTTAGAACATTTACACCCATGAAGTCGCCACTTCTGCATCTACTAGTACAATGATAATTATCATTGTCCTAGTATTGAACAAATATATATAATTGTTCAATATTATCAAGGGCAGATAAGTATGTAAGTTATAGCCAAATCAGACATTCTCACGATATGCAAAATACTATGCGGCATTGACAAAGTGAGACTGATACGAAGGTAATGGGGATATGAGGTCTTGAGTGGAAGATAAAATCTCAGATGAGTTCCAGGGATATTAGGAAGCGCGTCTTCAGTCGTAGTTAAGACGATATAGTGGATGCGAATGCTGTTCTCTGATTCGTGACTAAATGTAACAGTCTTAAAGGCTAGCATCCACGCCTGTCGAGTACAGATTGAGAGGCTGGGCAAGGGGATAAGAATCCTCTGTTCCCCCTCCCCCTCCCGGCATTCACTTCTCGTGAGTATACCAACACACAACATTACTCAACTGTCTAAATAGCTCTTGTTTAATTTAACAAAATTACTTCATCAGAGGGAATTTCTAGATGTTTTCATATCGGAAAAGTAAATCATGAACGGTTAATTGCTTTGTTTAGCAAAGTTCTGCAATTATACCTTGTTGTAAGATTTTGCATAGCCAGTTATTTCAGCATCTGTTATAAGTAGCACATAGAGAAAGTAACACTTGCCTAGGGAAGGAGGGACACGATGGCAGTGTTCTTTGGCACTTCTCTACTTCTTAGTGATAATGTTAGTGTTGTAAATTATTCCTCATTGTTATTAACATTTTAGATTTTGTGGAGTTAGACGGTTGAAAATGCTAAAAGTGATCTTTGTTTATTTTAACAGTGGAGAGTGGGTCGACTCCAGACAGCGGGCAGAGTTCTCCGCCCAACGGTCTACCAGCGTCCAGATCCTCGTCAGGCTCTACACCCATCCATGAGGAGGGGGGCGGGTCCCCCTACGGTGCCCATGGTGGTGGAGGCCAGGGATCTTGCTCAGATCTTACCGTTTACTCCTCTCTCCCTAACATCTCCATGGGCCGCCCTCCACATTCCACACAACCTGTGAGTACCCTCGTATTGTGTGTATGCGAAGAAAGCACAATGAAACGCTTGATTAAAAAATATTAAAAAAATAGTACAATGAATATTGAACAGAACACGAAACTTTTGTGTGTTAGTTACCATTGTGTCCAAGACACTTGTCGGTGAGACACTTGTCCGTAAGACACTTGTCGGTAAGACACTTGGCCTGTTCGCTGTGTGTTTGTATCTGTGTGTTTGTATATGTGTTTGTTTGTGTGTGTGTGTGTGTGTGTGTGTGTGTGTGTGTGTGTGTGTGTGTGTGGTGTGTGTGTGTGTGTGTGTGTGCTCACCTAACTGTGGTTGCAGGGGTCGAATCATTGCTCCTGGCCAAGCCTCTTCACTGGTCGCTACTAAGTCCACTCTCACCCTGCTCCATGAGCTTTGCCATACCTTTTCTTGGTGTGTATGTACTCACCTAGTTGTGGGTGCACGGGTCGAGTCATAGCTCCTGGCCCCGCCTCTTCACTGGCCGCTACAGGGTCACTCTCCCTGCACCATGAGCTTTATCATACCTCTGCTTAAAGCTATGAATAGATCCTGCCTCCACTACATCGCTTCCTAAACTATTCCACTTCCTGACTACTCTTGGTGGCTGAAGAAATACTTCCTAACATCCCTGTGATTCATCTGAGTCTTCATCCAACTGTGTCCCCTTGTTGCTGTGTCCCATCTTTGGAACATTCTGTCTGCCCACCGTGTTAATTTCTTTCAGTATTTTATGTCGTTATCATGACCCCCTATCTCTCCTGTCCTCCAGTGTCGTCAGGTCGATTTCCCTTAGCCTCTCCTTGTAGGACATACCCCTTATCTCTGGGACTAGTCTTGTTGCAAACTTTTGCACTTTCTCTAGATTCTTTACGTGTTTGGCTAGGTATGGGTTCCAAATTGGTGCCGCATGCTCCAATATGGGCCTAACGTACACAGTATACAGATCCCTGAATGATTCCATATTAAGATAGCGAAATGCTGTTCTGAGGTTTGCCAGGCGCTCATATGCTGCAGCAGATATTTGGTTGATGTACGCCTCAGGAGATGTGCCTGGTGTTATGCTCACCCCAAGATGGTTTTCCTTGAATGAGGTTTGTAGTTTCTGGCCATCTAGAATGTACTCCGTCTGCGGTCTTCTTTGCTCGTCCCCAGTCTTCATGACTTTGCATTTGGTGGGGTTGAACTCCAGGGGCCGGTTTCTGGACCAGGCCTGCAGCCTGTCCGGATCTCTTTGCAGTTCTGCCTGGTCCTCGTCCGATTGAATTCTTCTCATCAACTTCACATCAGCAAACAGGGATACTTCGGAGTCTGTCCATCCGTCATGTCGTTCATGAATACCAGAAACAGCACTGGTCCTAGGACTGACCTCTGTGGAACCCTACTCGTAACAGGCACCCACTCTGGCACCTCGCCACGTACCATGAATCGCTGCTGTCTCCCTGACAGGTATTCCCTGATCCATTGTAGTGCCTTCCCTGTTATCCCTGCCTGGTCCTCCAGTTTTTGCACTAATCTCTTGTGTGGAACTGTGTCAAACACCTTCTTACAGTCTAAGAAAATGCAATCTACTCACCACTCTCTCTCTTGTCTTACTGCTGTCACCCTATCATAGAACTCCAGTAGGTTTGTGACACAGGATTTCCCATCCCTGAAACCGTGTTGGCTGTTGGTGATAAGCACATTCCTTTCTAGGTGTTCCACCACTCTTCTGATAATCTTCTCCATGACTTTGCTTACTATACATGTCAGCAACACTGGTCTATAGTTTAATGCTTCTTGTCTCCTTTTTTAAAAATTGAGACTACATTTGCTGTCTTCCATACCTCAGGTAATCTCCCTGTTTCAGTAGATGTGTTGAATATTGTTGTTATGGATACACATAGCACCTCTGCTCTCTCTCTCAGGACCCATGGAGAGATGTTATCTGGCCCCGTCACCTTTGGGGTATCTAGCTCACTCAGCAGCCTCTTCACTCCTTCCTCGGTTGTATGTATTGTGTCCAGCACTTGGTGATGTACCCCACCTCTACGTCTTTCTGGAGTCCCTTCTGTCCCCTCTGGGAACACTTCTTTGAATCTCATGTTGAGTTCCTCACATACTTCGCGGTCGTTTCCTGTGATCTCTCCTTCCTTCCTTAGCCTGATTACCTAGTCCTTGACTGTTGTTTTCCTCCTGATGTGGCTGTACAACAGCTTCAGGTCAGATTTGGCTTTCGCTGCTATGTCATTTTCACAATGTCGTTGGGCGTCCCTTCTTACCTGTGCATATTCATTTCTGGCTCTATGACTGCTCTCCTTATTCTCCTGGGTCCTTTGCCTTCTATACTTCTTCCATTCCCTAGCATACTAGGTTTTGGCCTCCCTGCACCTTTGGGTGACCCATGGGCTCATCCTGGGTTTTTCATTATTCCTGTTACCCTTGGGTACAAACCTCTCCTCAGTTTCCTTGCATATTGTTGCCACATACTCCATCATCTCGTTTACTGACTTCACTGCCAGTTCTCTGTCCCACTGAACCCTGTGCAGGAAGTTCTTCATTCCCACATAGTCCCCTTTCTTGTAGTTTGGCTTCATTCGTCCAGCTCTTCCTACTTCCCTCTCCACTTGTAACTCCACTGTATATTCGAATCTTAAAACCACATGATCGCTGGCCCTAAGGGGTCTTACGTATGTGATGCCCTCAATATCTGCACCACTCTAGGTGAACACTAGGCCCAGTCTCGCTGGTTCAGCCTCTCCTCTCTCTCTGGTAGTGTCCCTTACGTGTTGGCACATGACGTTTTCCAGTACCACCTCCATCATCTTAGCCCTCTACGTTTCTTGGCCCCCATGTGGCTCCAAGTTCTCCCAATCGATTTCCTTGTGGTTGAAGTCACCCATGATCAGTAGCTTTGCCCTGCATGCATGAGCTCTTCTGGTGTGTGTGTGTGTGTGTGTGTGTGTGTGTGTGTGTGTGTGTGTGTGTGTGTGTGTGTGTGTGTGCGTGCGTGTGTGTGTGTGCGCGCACACACATGAAAGCGCCTACCTCGACACTAGGTCATTAACAGGAGGATTGGGTATGAGTAGTTTGTGCCTATGGATACCTGGAGGTTACCTGGAGGTTATTCCGGGGATCAACGCCCCGCGGCCCGGTCCATGACCAGGCCTCCCGATGGATCAGGGCCTGATCAACCAGGCTATTACTGCTGGCCGCACGTAGTCCAACGTACGAGCCACAGCCCGGCTGATCCGGCACTGACTTTAGGTATCTGTCCAGCTCTCTCTTGAAGGCAGCCAGGGGTTTATTGGTAATTCCCCTAATGCTTGATGGGAGGCTGTTGAACAGTCTTGGGCCCCAGACACTTATGGTGTTTTCCCTTAGTGTACCAATGGCGCCCCTACTTTTAATTGTGGGCATTTTGCATCGCTTGCCCAGTCTTTTACTTTCGTAGGGAGTGATTTCTGTGTGCAGATTTGGGACCATTCCTTCCAAGATTTTCCAAGTGTAGATTATGATATATCTTTCCCTCCTGCATTCCAACGAGTACAAGTCAAGTGCATCCAAGCATTCCCAGTAGTTAAGGTGCTTGACAGAACTTATACCTGCAGTAAAGGATCTCTGTACACTCTCTAGATCTGTAATTTCACCTGCTTTGAATGGAGATGTTAATGTACAGCAGTATTCCAGCCAAGAGAGAACAAGTGATTTGAAAAGGATCATCATTGGCTTGGCATCTCTCGTTTTGAACGTTCTCATTATCCATCCTATCATTTTCTCTGCACGTGCGATCGTGGCACTGTTGTGATCCTTGAAAATGAGATCCTCAGACATTACTACTCCCAGGTCCCTTACATTATTTTTCCGCTCTATTGTATGGCCAGAGTCTATAGTATACTCTGTTCTAGTTATTATCTCCTCCAGTTTTCCATAACGGAGTAGTTGGAATTTGTCCTCATTGAACATCATATTGTTTATCGTTGCCCACTGGAAAACTTTGTTTATATCTTCTTCTCTGCCAGGAAGTTGATCCTTTCAAGGCACTGGTTTGGATCCATGTCATTTAAGATATCTTCCCAACATGTTTCGTTTAGGACATGGGCCGTCTTCTCTGGGATGGGCGTCACTCTTCCTAGCGGTTCCTTTTTCTTGTAAATAAAATCTGGGATGAAAAACTACGATTTGCAAATCAATTTTGCATTAGTTATGTGCTTTAACCTGTTTGATCTCTCCCCAATGCAGTACAGTAAGAAAACTTGTGTATTGCACTTTAAATAAATTGATAAAAAAGTCTTGTTTGAGCGTGCACATTATGTAAGTATACAAATCACAATTTAACTTTTAATTCACAGTCACGCCCATGATTAAATTCAGTGATAAATCCAGTTTTCCGAGGAGCGCTGGGCAATTGTAATACAGTAATACTTAAACCCATGTCATCACCCAACACCAAGGCATATGTTATACAAACCTGAGTCTCCAGTAATCACTGGAAACTCAGTGGTCACCGGGGACATTATAGCCACTGGTGACGGTTTACTAGTCACCGATAGGAATTATATGGGTCAACTCCCGTCCCTTGACGGTGAAATATAGTTGTGCCAGTTTTTGATGACATTATTTTTTAATTTGCACTAAAACTAAGTCTAACCTAACCTTGCTAAAATTTACGTAATATGAAATAACTTCATTTATGTAACATATTTAAGAATTTGTATAATTTTTTTTTTTCAACATGTCGGCCGTCGCCCACCGAGGGAGAGTGACCGAAAAAAGAAACACTTTCACCATCATTCACCCATAATCACTGTCTTTGCACAGGTGCCCAGATATGACAGTTTAGTATGGGCATATAAAAGTATGAGATACAATGCGGTTATGTTCTGTTACTTTAATAGACGACGTTTCGCCTACAGAGTGGGCTTCATCAAGTCACCAATTTGTGTTTTCTATTTGATAAAACCCACTGCAAGGGCGAAACGTCGGCAGTAAAGGTTTCACGTGCATAGCTTCAT